GGGTCCACTGGTGGAACCTCTTCTAACCGGTTCGGTAGATTTGACGAACCGGTTCTACCGAACAGGTGCGAACTGGTAGGAACCCACCTCTGACTAGAAGACCTCCAAGGCCCTTCCCTGCTCTGATTGATTGATTGGATTACCTTTAATATTGTTGATTTTAATCACTGCCCTGCACACAAGGAATGAATAAGCTCCCTGACCTAATCTAAGTTTATTATTATTATTATTTTTTGAAGGACACATCCATTTTATACCTTTACCTAAGGGAAATCAGGAGATTCAGGCAGTTCAAATGAATATAAAGATTTATTGCAAGCTTAAACTCTCTACAAGAATCTGACCAACTAACAGTCAAGGGAAATGGGTGGGAGATAAGAGAGGCATTCAAGCTGGGTTGGACTGAGATTTCCTATGGGCACGCAGGGACTCATGACTGATGACGTGTTTGACCCTTCCCTCAGCCTGGTTATCTCCTACAAATGGGTACACATTGTCTACAGAACCCATTCAAAAAGAAGAACCCTTGAAATCCATCAAATATATATATATAATGTGCTGTTATTTCTATTGCACTGTTTCCTTTTCTAATTAAGAGTTGTTTAATTTTATCTGTCATTTTCCCATTTAACTGTTGCATGTGTTTTATTCATTTTTTTTCATCTCTACGCGCATCTGGATATCTCATTTCTTTACTATTATTATTACATATTTTATATTCCTATCAGCCTGCCTGCTGTTTATTTGCTATGACTTCAAATAAATTGTCCTCTTCCTAATTCAACTTTCACGCTATTCATTACACATCTTCTAAGCTTTCCAGAATACTGACAGGATCTAATTTTCTTTGTCACTTTTTAAAGCCATCAATAACAAAAGGGTGCTTGTGTTTCTCTCAGCTTCTCTCTCTCTTTTTTTCTTCCTAGCAAAATGTCTATTTTTTCTGACTAAAGATGAAAACAGTTCCAAGTCACATCTAAGGATGGGAGAGGAAGTTGCTTAATTCTCATAGGAAGGCGGTTGTAGGTAATTCTGCCTTTTCAAATTAACACGCAAACTTCATTCTCATTCAAAGATCTCATTCAAAGAACTTTAAAAAATAAATATGGACTGAACANAGGAGCCCTGCACGGATTCCGCAGACCCTCGTCCGCTTGGCTTCTCTGCCTGCTTTGTGGCTGTCGGCTGGCCCGTCCCCTCTCCAGCTTCTAGGCCCTGCCCAGGCCTTTTCCCTCTCGGCCCGGCCAGCGCCTCAGAACGGCCCGGGTGCAGCCGCAGGGCAGCCGGTCTGCGTGGCCCCTGGCTTCGCTCTTGCTTCCCGGCTGTTGAGGGCCCCGGCTTCAATCTGGGGAGGCTCCCGGCTCCCTCTCCTCTCCCCATGAGCCCCAGTCGCCTCCTGGGCTTCTGGAGTGGGGGAGTTGTGTGTGTTTGCGCAGGCTGAGCCTTGAGGGAACATAGAGTAACCCTAGGACTGGAAGGGAGCCCAGAGGTCTTCTAGTCCAACCCCCGGCTTCCCTTGCAACCCCCCTTGCCTTGAGAGCTGGAGTCCGGGGCCCTGGGGAGGAAGGAGCCCTGGTGTCCCCAGTCGGAGGGCGGCTGCAGCCCCTGCTCTGTGCTCTGGCCTGGCTGGCAGCCATCTATATTTTGGGGTACCTCAGCTGCACACGCCAGTGCAAGGCCCAGACTCGGGGCTCAGGGGGTCTGGTGTTGGCTGGGCGGCAGAGCGTCTCTCTGGCTTGACTGGTGGCAGTAGGATGGGCATCTCGGCCACCCTTCCCCCTGGAACCCTCTGCTGCTGGCACCCAGGGGGCACGGCTGGTACCCGCAGCCCCCCCCCACTTCCTTTGCAGCCAGAATGGCCAGTCTGTTTGGTGGGGGGGGGAGCGGAGAGGTGGGGCCAGGGAGCCCCTGTGCCTGGGCTGCTGGGGTGGGTTGGGTGGGGCTCTGACAATGGGGGGAGGAGGGGTGATGCCATGGCCGCCAGGCCCCTCTTTGCTCTGGGCCCTTGAGGGTGGGCTCCCCCAGGAGAGGGACTGCACCCGAGCGGAGCCTCAGTCCTTCCGCCTGCCCCCTCCCTTCCTGGCCTTTGCTCCCTTCCAGGGGTGGGGGAATCATGGGGCACCGGCCCTTCCCTCCTTTGGGGCCTTGTGGGGCAAAAGGCCTGGAGCTTTTGAATCCGGCATTGGCTGGACTGCTAGTGAGCAACGCCTTGTCTCCCCTGGCTGAGAAGCTGCCCTCCCCTCCCCTTCGATCGGGGCCCCTTTAACACCTGCAGACGCCCCAAGCACCACACAGGCCTCTTCCTCCCTCCCCCCCGCAGGAGAGCCCCTGGGCTGAAGTGGGCCGGGAACCCTCCTTCCGGGGCCACTGTGGGGCTGCCAATGGTGCTGGGCAGGGCAGCCACCGCAGGAGCCCCCGTGGGGAGTAGGGGGGGGCTCAGCCGGACGGGACGTGCATTCTGCCTCTCCCCTTGCAGGTTCACCGGGGCAGAAGCCGTGGTGATGGGCGACGTGACCTACGGGGCCTGCTGTGTGGATGACTTCACCGCACGGGCCTTGGGAGCCGACTTCCTCGTCCACTACGGCCACAGCTGCCTGAGTACGTACGGGGCCCCGGGGGGGGGGGGCTCTTCGTAGAGAGGGAAGCGGCACCCCTCACCCACGGCCTCTGGAAAGTCCCCCCTGCACAGCAGTGGAGAGCCAGGCCCGATGCCCCCACTCCCCTGCGGGGCTCTCTCCCCAGCTCTTGCCCATTGGGGAGGGAGGGAGATTCATGGATTTAGGGGATTTCTACCCAAGGGGCAAAATGGGTGTTTG